GGGCTGGCCGCCCCGAGAGGGTCCTCGGGGGCAGGAGGAGGGGGAGGACATGGACACCAGGGCTGTGGGGGGTGGGTGCAGCCAGCATGTGCCACCCGGCAGATCTCCTGCCAAAGCCACGTCCAGCTTCCCCGGGGACCGCTCTGCCGTGGTGCAGGCGCCGGCACACCGCCGGGCTCCGGTGCTGGGGGAGCTATGGGAAGGTGTGACACTGCCACCGGGGGAGCGGGCCAGCTGTGGGGCCACCAACACCACCACCCTCCCCAACACTGGGGCCAGCTCACGCAGGGCTTAGTGCAAGGCTGAGCACTGGCGGCAAGTGTCGCTCCACATGCAGCCCAAACCATCCCAGATCTCCCATTCCTTGAGTATTTTTATAGCACTACAGGATCTTTTTTGTCTGCAGCTGAGAATTTGTTCCAGTTCAGTTGTTATACTCCAGGATTACTTTCACCATCTGCACTTCAATTCTGAAATAAGTTTGCAGAAACCTCAAGGAACAAACAGAGCATTTTTCTTATCTGAAGTTAAAAATCCTGAACTCTATCACGCCAGTCTCATTAGAATTGCATTCCCCTTAAAGACGTGATTGTTTGAAAAGATATTTTCAGATTTCTTTCTCCCACTGAAGAAGAGCCGGTGTCAGTAAAATCCCACCCAGCAGTGGGGTGGGATTCACAGTTTTGCTGCTTTTCCAGGGAGAAGCGTGTGGAAGCACAGCTGCGTTACCAAACTCAAATTCAAAGCAATCCACGGCCGATTGATAATTCTGCCCAGCACACTGTTTTCACAGTGTGTCTAGACACAGATACCAGCAGTGTAATTGCTGTGGAAAGAGAGATGGAAAAAAAATGGGAAAGGTCGATTCTGGTCACCGGCATTTCGAGGCGAGTTTACAAATATTAAAAGGATGAATAATGAGTTTTCAGCAGAAAAGGAAGAATTCAACTCATGATCTGGGGAAAACGAAAAAATGAGAAAAGCAGCAGCAGAACGGGCTCCTTCATTTCTTTTCAAGTATCTGCGTACCGCATCCCCGCACCCAGCCAGGCTCTCCTGCACCCACAGCCACCGCGCCAGGCGCTGCCGCTGCCCATCCCTGCCCAGGGACGCCGCTGCCCGTCCCCGCAGAGTGGCCATGCCTCGCCGGGACACCGAGCCCTCCCGTCCTCATGGGTGGTGCTTCCAGAGCAAGGACAACCAGGCACCCCCAGGCCAGGACACCCACAGGTCCCCAGCCCGGCGGTGTCCCAGCCATGGCACGGCGTGGTGCTGAGCCCGGCGCTGCCCTGCTCCTGCACAGGCAGCTGAGCATGAGAACAGGACACATGGAGCTGCTGCAGAGCAATGTGAGCGACTAAGGAAAATGGGAAAATCCTTTTTCTTTTTAACTTCTGTGGCAATGGTTTGATGACGATCATTTGAAATTGACTAGTTCTGCCATGTGCGTTTTATAGCCAAGAAAAGCCGGATGCTTCACATTACTTTGTCATTTAAATGATAATGTTTTGGAGAACACATACAACGAGCAGACAGACAAACCCCTTTGCTGGGGCAGAAACGCAGCAGCACAGCAGTCCTGCTCCGAAGCATCCCCCGCCCTCTCCTCTCCTGTCCCACAGCCCAGCGCTGGGGCAGCCCGGGGGATGCAGGGGAACACAGCACAGCCTCCCCAGGAAACTGCGCCCCGGAGCCAAGAACTCTGAGCGCTTGGGCAAAATGGGAGATATAAAACAGCATTTATGATGGATTCTGCTGGAACCGAGAGAGAGAAGTGGCAGCTCTTCATCAGAGAGAACAGCTCTGAACACCAAGAGCCCGGCACATCCAGGCACCCGCCCATCGCACCCACGTCCTGCTTGGCCTGGAGGGTCGCTCCTCACCCAGGGGGTGCCTGGTGGAGATCAGAGCAAACCACCCTCCACACTGCGGACATCTCCTGAGCCACCAGTAACCTGATGAGAAACGACCCTGCTGCCCAGGGCGGCCGTCGCTGGGCTCGTTCGCTGCAAACATTTGCTATTCAAAAAGACTGAAGCCCTGGATATTATTTGCGTTAACTATTTCCCGCACACGTCCCACGGCGCTGCACACCGAGCGGCACTGAGAGCTGGCGGAGGCCGAAGGGCTGCAGCTATCAGACTGGGGGCTATCCACATGAGCAGAGCTCTTTCACTGACAGCAGAAGGCTTTCTTTGCAGTCTGAGCAGAGTTAACGACTCCTTTTGCACCCCGTGGGGTAGAAGTTCCTCGGAGAACAACGCTCACCGAGCACGTTTAAACCATTATGAGGAATGGCTACGAGGTGATGGCAGCAGGCTGGTTCTAAAACCCGTTCTCGCTTCCCTGTAGTCAAAAATTAAACTGAGGATGGATGCAGGTTTAGTCCAAAGCGTGAGCATCGCAGGACAATTAAACGTCAAAGATACACCAAGCTGCAGCACAATGGTTACTGCTGTGTAAATATCTGCCTGAGTAAAATCACCCAAACGTTGGATCAAACCGGGGCTGGCGGAAGACTCGTCAATCTCCCGTCCTCAGGGACAGCAGGCAGATACCAACAACCATAACACCAAGCACAGAGACCATGTTTGACCTCCTCCTGTCGCTGTGAGGCCGGAGCTGCACGTTCCGGCGGGCAGCTGCCCGGAGAGCGGGGAATGGCAGCGCCTTATCTCCGCACAGGGGAAGACGCCCAAGCAGCCAACTCCCACTGGGGAGCCACTACCAGGAATAAAGGGACTGAAAGTAAAACAAAGGCTGAAACCTTCGAGGCAGACAGTGGACTCCCATAAATAGTGTCCAGTTCTCAAATACTTCAGTATGACCTTCTACAGGGGAAAAAAAAAAATCACAATTTCCTCCTTCCCTGACAAACTCCAGCACAGCTACCTCCATCTGCGCCCAGAGCACAGGGCGCTCCCAGGGTGAGCAGGGACGGGGCAGGCAGGTGCCCGGTGGATGGGCACCAGCCTCCCAACCAGGGAGCAGCCCCTTGCC